GCCTCAACCAACATCAGAGCCCATTCTTCTAGGGCAAACCGTGAGTCCCTGCCCTGAAAAGCTTTCAATTTGAATAGAAGACAGGGTAGGGAAAGAGACAGAACAGCAGTAAAAAATTGTAGGCCATGGCAGGGAATGGTTAAGTAACCTACTCAGGATCATACAGGAAGCATGTTGCAGAGACTGGAGTCAAACCCAGCTCTTCTAAGGCCCAGCCAATGTCTTAACCACAAGGCCACCCTTTCTGCTAGGTAGTGTGGCATCTAGCACTAGGAGGCATGGACTATGTTTCTACCCCATATTTCGCTTGGGAAGATGTCAGTTCTCAAAATGCACTTTAACTCAATTACCTAAGAATTGACTTCACCTAAACCTCATGGCGGATTCTATTGTGACACTGTAGAATCAATTGAAAGGCAGTTCTTCACCATTCCACCCAAAGAGGAACTATGTACTATTGTACACCTGGGGATCTCTTCCCTTTTGAAATAAACATTAGAACAGCTGGACTCCTGGTAATTCACAGACTTTACATGAGATAAACATTTCTTGCCCTGAAACAAGCACACCTTGGACAGATTTACAATTCGTACTATCAGGCTGACAGGAACCCTGTCTTGAGTCCTTTAGAACTGTTTCCCACCATGCACCCCCAACAGCCCCAAACTCCATCCCGCGAGTTAGAACTCAGTGGAGTAGGGTTTCTGTAAGTCTAATGTTAAAATGAACCCAGTAAAGCCAGCGTAGCAGATACTATACTGCTTTGAGAAAACTAGGAGAGACTCCCTGAGGAGAGCTGTATAAATAAAATACTCGATAGTTAAAACTATCTTTTCTTCTGACAAAATATTTAGCATAGGTAGAATAAAGCCAAGTGGTGGTATATGCATTTGAGTTCAAGTAAGGCAAATAAAAAAGTATGGACCATTTTGATTATGCAAAAAAGTCAGTTAAAACATGATCTGCCTTAAAAATCATCATTAAATTGTACTAAAGGCTGCAGGCAAGTATCAGTGATTTCAGTACGTTTGCCTGTCAGATTGAAAGGTAATCTATGGAGCAAGAATTAAGGTTGAACTTGAAAAAGTCAGACTCCTAGTATTTTACCAACAAGAAATGTACTTGTACAGCAGTTGCTACTTTACGGTTATACGCCCCCACAAAGAGTTGTACAAGTTTCCCATTAGATAGTGCAGAATACAGAAAGTCAGGATTAAACAAAGACTGTGAATGGCTATCCAACTACAGAAACAGTTTCTCCTCCCTT